CATATAGCTAGGTGTCTCTAAATCCAGTTAAGTCGACAATGAAGACTAACCACAAGAAGGGAAGGCAGGGGCTGATTAGTGTAAGAGGCGGCTGTGGAGACTGGAAGACTCAGACATGTCTTCCCATGCCTGTCTCTGACGTCCATGAAGATGTCACACGCCACCTTACATGGCCATGTGTACTCTGTTTTAGAATTCACCTGAGATCAGCCTTACCTGTTAGAGGACACAGGGTGTTTCTTTATCATTTCCCTTCTCAACCATCTGCTGTCTCCCTGGATGAAATAAAAGTTTGCTGCCCACCCACTCTAACTCTGACCATCTTACTGCCACAGTGCTCTTGATCATACAAGTACTGTGGGCACTAAAAAAAAAGGCACAATATTGGGGTCCTGTTAATCAAGACAATGAACATTTACTTGTTTGCTTATTGTCATTGTTTTTTTTTTAATGTTTTTAAGGCAGAGTCCCACAAATTAGCAAGGGCTGTCACCAAACTCTTGATCCTCCTAATTCAGTCTCCCAAGTGTTGGGAGCTCAGGTTGTACCACCATACATGTTCTAGTTCAGTTTTTCTTTCTACATTTGATAATTATTCATTAAATTCATATTATATGTGGGATATCATTGGTAACCAGTAACCATTAGTAATTATAATCACAACATCCTGAATAAAACTGAGACGTTTAGAGCCTTGTGGCCATAAGAAAAAAATTAAAAGTTAATGCATTATTCATATATCTCAGCTCACATAATAGCTGAGGTGAAGGAATTAAATTTCAGAAACATCAAAGTAGTATACAATTTTGTTGGAAAGGAAGCAAGAACACTTCGAAGCTGTAAAAGCATATGCTGCCCTAGTCCCCTTGTCACCATGATAACCCACCCTGAAAAAGGCAACTTAAGGGTCTGTAGTTGTTGTTTTTTTACTCTTTGGGAAGCCTGCCACTCAGCTACCAAATAAATACACGTGGAGGTTTATTCTTTCTTATAAATGCCTGGCCTTAGCTTGGCTTTTTTCTAGCTAGCTTTTCTTAGCTTCACTCATCCATCTTTTGCCTCTGGCTTTTACCTTTCTCTATTTCTGTGTATCTTTTCTTTCCTTCTTAGTCCATGTCTGGCTGTGTAGCTGAGTAGCTGGCCCCTTCTTTTCTAGCTCCTAGATCTTGCTCCTCTCAGATTACTCCTCCTATTTATTCTCCCTGCCTGCCAGCCCTGCCTATCCTTTCTTCTTCCTTGCTATTGGCTGTTCAGCTCTTTATTAGACCAATCAGGTGTTTTAAATAGGCAAAGTTTCACAGTTTCACAGAGTTAAACAAATGCAACATAAAGGAATGCAACACATTTTTGGATCATTAAATAAATATCCACAGCATATGCAAACATAACACATCTTAAAATAATATTCTACAACAAAGATATGTTTGGCTCACCACTGTAGGTTATAGTTAGTCCACACTGTGGGGAAGTCAAGGCAGAAGGAACTTGAATCAGCTGTCCCATGCCATCCTCAATTAAGAGCAAAGAGCGTGAATCCGGGATCCCCTGCATAGGAATGGTGATACCCATTTTGGGTGACTCTTCCCACCTCAGGTAACAACACAACCAAGATAATCCTCATACACATACCCACAAGGCCAGTCAAATTTAGGTATTGTTTTTAATTGAGATTCTGTTCTGGAGTGACTTTACATTGTCTCAAGCTTACAAAAGTGACCAGCAGAGGACACAAATGTAAATTTTTTAACTGTTAAAGAGAAACATGTTTGCCTTTTTAAGCCAATGGAGTGGTTTTACATTTTCATAATATTTATATTCCAGTATAATAGCTTTATATATAATGCTAATATTTATAATATATGCCAAAATATTTTAATTTGTTATTAAAGAGATACCAGTTTAAAAGTGGGTGAGGCAGCTCGATTTTTTGTTTGTTTTTTTCGCGACAGGGATTCTCTGTGGCTTTGGAGACTGTACTGGAACTAGCTCTTGTAGACCAGGCTGGTTTTGAGCTCACAGAGATCAGACTGCTTCTGCCTCCCGAGTGCTGGGACTAAAGGCATGCACCACCACCACCACCACCACCACCACTGGGCTGCAGCTTGATTTTTTTTCTTTTTTTTTAAGATTTTATTTATTTAATATGTATACAACATTCTGCTGTCATATATATCTGTACACCAGAAAAAGGCACCAGATCTCATAACGGATGGTTGTGAACCACCATGTGGTTGCTAGGAATTGAACTCAGGACCTCTGGAAGAGCAGTCGGTGCTCTTAACCTCTGAGCCATCTCTCCAGCCCCTGATTTTTTTTTTTTTAAAGGTTTTCTTGGCCACTTTGGGTGGAGCTGGAGCTTGGCAGTTAAGAGCCTGTGTGGGTTCCCAGACCCCACATGATGGCTCACTAACTACAATCCCAGGAGATCTGATGCCCTCTTCTGGCCACCTATGGCCCCAGGCACTCACATGGTACACAGATATATATGCAGGTTAAACATCCATGCAAACAAAATACATTTTCTTTAAAAAAAAAGAGAAAGAAGTTCCTTACGACCTTGCCACCCTAGTTTGTCTCTTAAAATATGTACATTCTTGTAGCCAACTAAAGGACCTTATTCCATTGTTTTTTCTAAGTAATTTTCCTTTCTTTTCTAACTTTATACTTTTTAATTTTATTTATTTTACAGCCCGCCTGTAGCCTCCACTCCCTCCTTTCCTTCCACTCTCCCTCACTCCTCTCCACCCCCCCCATCCATCCCTGCCTCCTCTTTTTCTGCCTAA